CCCCCCACTACCCAAGTTTCGTTTTTGCTCCTTTGGCGACTCGAATCCCCAAACCTGATGGTGGAGGGTCTTTATCAAGGTTTGGATGGAGGTGAAATATAAGTATTTTGATAAGTTTGGTCATAAGTAGAACTAAGTGGAGGTGGAAAGCCACTAGTTCAAGAAATATTGGATGGCAAAATGAGCCCTTCTCTCCTCTTCTTGCACCTAAAATGAAATCAACACCGACTTTTTAGTTACTTGAGAGAGTGTTACAGCGCGTCATGCTAAATGCCATGTGATGATGTGCAGCCTGGGAGTTGCATTTGGACTTCTATACGGTCTTCTGTTATGACTAAGATGCCGACGCCCTAATGCACAATAACAACAACAACAACCCAGTGAAATCCCACAAGTGGGGTCTGGGGAGGGTAGTATGTATGCAGACTTTTCCCTATTAATGTACCTTTTATGCATTTAGTAGTTATGCTCTTTTGGTAAGGCAAATAGCTATATTTTATGCGTTCTACGATTCATGCAGTTTTTGTGAATCTCTTTACTGTTTAAACATCAACAGATTGTTTTACTTCTTTGTTTTTCCTAAGGTGTGGGCAATTGCAGATTCCAAGCGGCAAGGGTTTCTTGGTTTTAAAGAGTTTATTACTGCAATGCAGGTACATAGCTCTTTGAGTGGACTCTCATTTCACCTTTATAGTTAATTTTCTTCCTTCTAAATGCAGATCATTCTTTGCATTTCACTATGTAGTTGGTCTCTTTGGCTCAAGCTGGCCATGCAGTAACAAGTGATTCCTTAGATGCCGAAGGTAAGTAGGATATATAACTTCAGCTATGTCAAAACAGTATGCTAGTAATTTCAGTTGTCACCAACAAGGGTTGTGGTGGGTGGTGGGTGGTGGGTGGTAAGTACTTCTTCGTCCTTAACCACAGGTCTCGGGTTCGGGTCTTGAGTATGAATTTGCCTTTGTTAGGGTAGTGCTTTACCCCCTATGTAGAACTTCCCAGCACGAATCCGGATTTAGTCGGGCTCTAGTGCTGGTGCCGGACACCGTGCAGGAAACAAAAAAAAGAAAAAAGAATTTAGTATTCACTTGACTGCTATTCTAGAAACTTAGTTGATCCTTTGTCATTCCTTATACTGGTTTACTTTAGCAAGCAGAATCTTTTCTCTTATACTGATCCTATAATTAGAACAATTTCAATTCAATGCAGTTGATTTTGAAACTTTGCAGCTACCTACAATGGAAGGTCTGGATGGACTTCTCGCTGTAAGTTGCTAGATTTCACTTTTTTTTTTTCTTTTTCCCATTCGTAGCTTCTTCTTTTTATAACCGAAATGCGAAAGGCCAAATTGTGCATACCTCGACTAATTCTACGGGGTACTTGTTACCTCCCACCAGCACATGTACCGGGTAACTGTGTCCGCCAAGACTTGGACAGATGGAAGGAAATCACCTAGGTCTCATAGCTTTTGAGTTATCCTGAGGTCAAGAGTTCCATTCATAACTTAACTGTTAACTTAAAATGTTTTACAGAAGAAGAAGCGTGTGGCTAAATGGGCACCTGACCGCAATGGTAATGTTACTTCAGTACATACAAGAAGATCTTTCTTTTATTTTATTTGCTTAAGTTCTTGGGAAATTGGGAAGGGGAAGTGGATGGAGCCTTTGTATCTAACTATGAATTGTGAAGCAGGAAGTCTTATGCTATCTTCACGAGCTAATTGGTTTTCGTCATCAAAATCTGCAAAGAAGGTGAATGTTGTTATTGTCTTTATTCTCTTATATAAAACTGCTACTACTACGCCTCAATACCAAAGTAGTGGAGTCAGCTATATGAATCCTCACTAAACTTGTTGCTCTATTTAGATCCATATCAATTCTAGAAGTTCTTAACACTACATTCTCGACATTTCTACTGGCATACAGATCCCTAACAAAACCAAAATACTCTCAAAGAACGTATGTAAATGTACAGCACGACTAAGCTTTCATACTTGCTGGTACCGCCAATATGAACAATTTTCTTCCGTTGTGTCGATTTTGCACTAAGTCTACATGAGTTTCAAGAGATTATAAGTCTTTCAAGATAACGTTCTTCCACATGATTTTAGGTTTAATTGTCCTCTTTTAACACCATTGAGTGTCTTTGGAGGTTGACATAGGATGTGACGAAACCATCTCAAGCACCTTCTCTCATTTTGTCCCCTATGTGTGCATTAACTCCCAATTCTTGTGCTTTCTTTTGCTTAACTAATGCACTTTTCAAATGCTTGCCTGTTGTAGTATTTCAATGATTCCATCGTTTTGCATCAAATGTCATGCTTTCGTATTATAGTTGTCTATATGATATCCTTTCCTAGGAGTACCTTTCCACACTATCTTCACAAGTTACGATTTACGTGACAGACTTCTGTTATGCAATGTCTTAATATGATTGACAAACTTCTAAAATATTGTATTCTGTATAGGTTTCACAGTTTACAAGTAGACTTCTGTTATAGTTTTCCATTGGTATGTTCGATGCTAATTCCTGTTTTTGCTCCTGAGATGATGCTCGATCATTTTCGTTTGCCCTTTAGGTTTCTTCAAACTATGTCACATCAATAATTGATGGACTGAAGAAGTTGTACGTCAAGAAACTAAAGCCATTGGAAGTTGCATATCACTTCAGTGATTTTGTCTCTCCTTTATTGGTAGGTGTAGTTATCATGTCAGTTTACCTATGCTTATTTGAAACGAATAAGAAAAGAACTTAAATTTCATTTCCTCCCCTTTAACTATGTTATCTTTCTTATTGGTATCATGATGACGGCAATACAAACAGTTGAGTTAACTTCTTTATTATGCTATTTTGGTAGGCAAATAGTGATTTTGATGCCAAACCAATGGTGATGCTTTTAGGTCAATACTCCACCGGCAAAACAACATTCATTAAGCATTTACTCAAAACAAGTTATCCAGGTTAGCAAAAAATATTTTTTTTTTCTTGTGTATATGCTTTTGTCTGTGCATTGACGGGTCTTCGTTTATGTTTATGGTTCTTTTGTGCCTATATATAGGTGCTCATATTGGGCCAGAGCCTACAACAGACAGATTTGTTGTCGTTATGGTACTTTCACCTATCTAATTTTTACTGATATACTGTGTTCACTCACTTATTATCTTTCTTGGTATGATGCTGAGTAGAAGAAAACTTACACTCTACCGGCGTTGAATCTTTTTGTTAAAAGCTGTCCCAGAAATAGTGTCCCCTTATTTTAGACGACGTTTTATGATTCTATAACAGTTTACTTTTCATCAACATATATAAACTACTACATTTAACTATTTTAGCTACCTATGGATTCACGTGAACCCAATAGCTTCTACCCAAACCCTGTATATGCATTAAGAAATTTATTAAATATCTAAAATTATTCGACCGTGGACATAGTTATTATTGTTTCTTTGAGCCGGGGTGTTTAGGTCTGCGTACCCTCTACCCTCCCCAGACCCTTCTATGTGGGATTACACTGAGTTTGTTGCTGTTGTTGTTGAACACAGTTATTATTGTATATTAACTTAGTCGTTGTGGGAACCCATAAACTTATAACCCTGGATGCGCCTCTGGTTAAAGGAGAGGTTCAGTAGGAAAGGAGAATTTATTCTTGAAAGTAGATTTGTTTAATGGTGTTGGTATGCCAAATCATTTGTTAGACATTCATTCACTTTAACTCTGTATTAAACAGAACGGACCTGACGAAAGAAGTGTCCCGGGGAATACAATTGCTGTTCAAGCAGATATGCCATTTAGTGGTTTGACAACTTTTGGAACGGCATTTTTGTCGAAGTTTGAGTGTTCTCAAATGCCGCATCCTGTGAGTTAAATGGACTCTTTGTTACTCATACAACGTAATGAAAACAATTTTTATAGAAACTAATGATATCATTTTCCCTTAAAAAGCTGTTAGAGAATATCACAATTGTGGATACTCCGGGAGTTTTATCAGGGGAAAAACAACGAACGCAAAGGAGCTATGACTTTACGGGGGTGACATCCTGGTTTGCTGCTAAGTGTGATCTCATTCTGCTATTGTTTGATCCCCACAAACTTGATATTAGCGATGAATTCAAACGTGTGATTGCGTCTCTTCAAGGTCATGATGATAAGATACGAGTTGTTTTGAACAAGGCTGACCAAGTTGATACACAACAAGTAAGGCATATAACATTTTCTTTCATTCATGTCCGCGCCCTTGTAACTATGCTAAAATTTATTTTATTAATTGGTCCCTGTTATTGCAGCTAATGAGGGTTTATGGAGCATTAATGTGGTCTTTAGGGAAAGTTCTGAATACCCCTGAAGTTACGCGTGTCTACATAGGGTATGATCTCGCTATTTTCAATTAGTTCATAATTAATTTAGAAGGGCTTATTTTAGCAAAATAAATGTAATTAAGCTGCAGAACATTATGATATTGTGAGAATATTAATACACTAAATACATTATCTCTTGCTTTAGTGCAGAGATAATGTTCACAAATATCTAAATATACATGTTCATTTCATAGTTCTGTCAAAGCATTATTTTAAAGTCATACAAAATGTTTTATTAAAATAGAAAAAGGCAGCCCATTTTCACGCAGGGTCAGGGAAGGGCCGCACCCCAAGGGGTGTTATGTAGGCAGCCTACCCTGATGCAAGCATCAGTGGCTGATTCCACGGCTCGAACCCGTGAGCTGGAGACAATTTTACCGTTGTTCCAAGGCTTCCCTTCTTATTTTTAGACGGCAACCAAAATTCTTTTGTTTTTGAGTTGTGCAATTTGCATAAACTCTTTGGATGTTTTGGCTTTTACAGATCATTTAATGACAGACCTATAAATGAGGCTCCGACCGGGCCTGTGGGGAAAGAACTTTTTGAAAAGGAACAAGATGATCTCCTTTCGGACCTGAAAAACATACCAAAGAAGGCTTGTGATCGTCGTGTAAGTTAACATTCTCTGAGTGTGATCCTAAATTTTTTTTGGTCAGGACTTGCTTCTGATTTACTTTAAACAAGGATGAAGAACAAGTTTTGTTGCATACAGATAAATGAATTCGTAAAACGTGCTAGAGCTGCCAAGATACATGCTTATATCATAAGTCACCTGAAAAAGGAAATGCCTGCTATGATGGGCAAAGCGAAGAAACAGAAAAGACTTATCGATAACTTGGAAGATGAATTCGTTAAGGTGTGTTTCTCGTACCCCTTCGTTAACTCTCCTGACACGAACTTTATATCGAGTATTATGTCGTAATGTTTTCATTTATTCGAAACAGATTCAAAAAGAACATCATTTGCCAGCTGGGGATTTTCCAAATGCTGAACATTTTAGAGAAGTTTTGAGTGGTTATAGCATTGACAAGTTTGAGAAGCTGAAACCTAAGTTAATACAAGCTGTTGATGACATGCTTGGTTATGACATCCCTGAACTTCTCAAAAATTTCAGGAATCCTTACGACTAACTAGGTAAAAAGTTGGTAAAGTACGGACAGAGGTGGAGCCAAGATTTGAAGCTACGGGGTCGGGATTCTTGTACTTTTATGTTACTCGGTTGTAAATTAATAATTTATACATGTTTAATGAATTTCCTAAGATAAATACAAAGTTTGGACTAAAGTTACTAGGTTCGGCCGAATCCGTAAACTGCATATTAGCTCTGTCCCTGAGCATGTAAAAGGTGTATAATATGGAATGTGGTTGTATTCTTGTTCCTATTTTTTAGTTTCACATTTAGACTTTCCTTGAGCATATTGGTTGATGACTGATTATTGAATTAATAATATTAATTGGCGATTGAGGTGTGAAGACACTTTATTTCTGTTTATTAGCATATGTGCTTGGTTTTTCTTGTTCCTTTCTCTGCGAAGCCACATTGTTTGAAGAGGTTCAATTGAATTCGCTTTGTCGGTTAAGAAAGATACTATGCAATTAGGGTATAAATATCTTTTTCCTGTTTATATACAACAACGACAACAACCCAGCGAGTTCCCATTAATGGGGTCTCGGGAGGGTAAAATGTACACAATCCTACCCTTACCCTGGAAGAGCAGAGAGTAACTACCTACTATCTTAATCTTCGACCGCTATACCCTCCTATCAAGGGTCATATCCTCCGTTTATATAAGTAGTCGAATTCTAGTGATATATGGGAATATTCTAGTGTAGCCACAAATGTAGCTTAAAAATTGCTTAACTTGTAGGTTTGAATCCTATGTGTAACTTTGTTGTTGGTATGGTGAGTTTACTTGTTGAGGAATATTAGAACCCCTAATAAAAGTTAGTAGACTAATAATCCCAAACAATAATTTGAAAAAACAAAAGAAAAAAGGGCAAGCTCAGATGCGCAAGTTTTCGTCCATAGGACTAGTGCGGAGACCCAAATCACCGCATTGAGCGCATATATTCATCACAGCCAACCCAAATTGGATGCACCAGCCGGGAATCGAACCCGGGTCTGTACCGTGGCAGGGTACTATTCTACCACTAGACCACTGGTGCTTGTTATTTCTAACCTCTCATTGTTTTATTTACTGGGAACTTTAAGCTGCTCAATTCCCATCTTCACTGGTCCAGGACGATCCTCTCCCAAGTATGTCTCTTCTGCTCAATTCCTCGGCAGAGGTTTTTGATTTCATTCATATTCTATTATTCGAGTGATACATGAACTGCTAAAAAAATATTTGACCGAAATGAAACAGAAGGTACTTAAAGAGTGACTAGCAATTGGAAAATTCAAATGTTCTTGCTAAAAAACAAAACTAAAATCAACGACACGCAAATTCAATTATACTAAATAAGGAAACACTAGCACATGCAATTCTATTTGAGAAATTAAAATTTTTTTCTTTACCAGCTACTTCTAAATACTTGTTGAATAATTTGAATTATAAAACTTTATAAATAATATAAAAATTTCTTATGTAGTTTGTAAGTATGTAAAGTAATATTTTAAAAAAGATAGATATATTACATCCAAATCTATATCGAGTATTAATATATTTTGACTCTGCTACAAGCTCTTGCATAATTTATGGAGGAAAGTACCAATAAGTGTTGTGGTGGAGTGGTAAGCAATGTTTTAAAAGGCGGGGGCGTGAGGCGAGGCGTTTTACCTCTGACGAGGCGAGGCGTAAGCCCTGAGACATGGGGCGTAAGTCCCACGGATCTTTAAATTTTACTAATTTCAAGAATTTTAAGATAGTATAAAATAAAAAATAATTATAAAAATTACATCAAAATCACAAAATTATAACAAATAATCTATTTAAAATATTTACAAATTATAATTCGATTATGAATAATACGAAAAGTATGACATATATCATAATATGCAAATTAGTTGCAATGTCGTTACTCGTTACAACTCAAACAACAAAAGTAATGTATCTGATATGAAATCTTATACTGTATGTATCTCTTAAGGAGTAATAAATCTTGAAAGAATTTCAATATTATAATTTAATATTTTACTTAAAATACTACTTTTATTTAATATGCTTTCTATTCGAAAGAGAATTTATATAAAAACATAATTCACAATTTAAATATGATTCTCTAGCATCATCTATTTTTAAGTTTCAACAAGTTAATAAACTAACACATAATTCACCATACAATATCATGATAACTATTATACAGTAAAGACATAACAAAAGCTAATAAATAAATACTTTTGAAATGAAAGATTTATTTAAAATTTACTATCATAGCAGTCTTAGCGGATAACGTGCAATAATTTTTATTTTAATTATGACATAAAATACTCTCAACTTAATGATTTATGATTAAGAAAGGAGTAATTTTGAATAGTCAACGATTCGTTAAGAAAATTTGAGGGTTTACAAGGTTAGTTACATACAATTGCATAAAGTTCTATTAGGCGAGCCCAGTACCCTGGGCGAAAGCTCCGGTGGCCGAGGCGTAAGTCTCACGGAACTAAGCCCCATACATAAGCCCAGGGGCGTTTTACGAGTGCTCCGCCCCGGGGCGAGCCCCGGGCGAGTCCCAGTTCTGCCTTTTAAAGCAGAGGTGATAAGTACTCTTTCATCCTTAATAAGAGGTTTCGGGTTCGAGTCCTGGGTATAGAGTCGTTCTGTTAGGAACGATTTACCCCCAATATGAGACTACTCAATGCGAATCCGGATTTAGTTGGGTCCCAATACGGAGACCAGACACCAAGTAGAAAACAAAAAAAAAAAGAAAAATTTATGGAGGAAAGTAACTTTACTCCTTAATTAGTTTAATGCTCCTTTTTATTTCGGAATCATTTGTAGTAGAGACCAAAAAGCTTCTCTTTCATATGTTTATCAGTCGGTAATGTCACACCTCCTTTTTTACACATTCGGGGGGGAGGGGGTATATAAGAGAGTTTTTCCACTTTAAGTGACATTATTCGAAATTGGATTATTTATTTGATTTTCTTTAGAGTCGCCACTTGGGATAGTTTATTTTGGTGTCCCAAGTCACCGGTTTATTTTTAAAACCCAAATCGAGGAAATTCGACTTTCCTTTTGAAGTCTGCGAACCAGAAATTCTGAATAAGGAATTATGTTAACCCGAGGGAAGGTGTTAGGCACCCCCGGATTCCGTGGTTCTAGCACGGTCGCTTAAACTATCATAATTGACCTATTATCTGATTTTAATACATGTTTTAGCCTATGGTACATTTTTAACTTATTAGCCGCTTTTAATTAATTTTAGGAAGATTCAACGTTATCTAAAACACGTCTTGAACCACGCCACATGAAATGCACCCGCGGTCCACGACACATTTTATCTAACGTTGTTGAGAATTGGAGTTGGGTCACATGAAATGCACACCCGAGTTTAGGAAATTAATTTTTAAAATAACGCGCCTAAAGCAACTATGCACTTCCAAATTTGCGAGGGCCATAGAAATTCAACTAAATGGCACACCTCGATTTCTAAAGGATTAAAATTAACTAAGTGAGGATCATGCGTTTGAGATTTTATTTGGCATGGCACACCTCGATTCTTTTCTATAAGTGTTAATTTTTGGGATCTAAATTTTTACATTCCTATGCCACATAGGAAACCTTTTTACCCTCAATGTTTAAAATTTGACTTAATTACACTTAGTATACCAAATTACCATTTCTATACCATCATTAATTAAAGGTATAATTAAAGAGAGAGAGACATTTGATCTTTTAATTGGTTTAGCGCATTGAATAAATCTTTTTCTGTTCCGAAATATCTGCCAATCCTTTACTTCTCCCAATTGTTTGTTTCAACAATTGATAATTTGTTATTTCACTTAAATTATTTTTCCTTTTGATCCAATTTTTATCTATTTCTGAATCTCAAATTCATAATTTCAATAAAATGGACCCATCTTCTGCTGCTTTCAGATTAATGAGGAAAGAAAAAACAGGATTGGGATGGATAGAATGGTTACAAGGATGGTATCGTTTGACATATGAAACACTATTTCAAAAAAATCAATGCTAGGAATTTACCCATACCCACGTTCTTTTTACAGGCTTCCACCATTGACAGCCATTAAAAAGCTTGAAAACTTTGAATTCAAATTTGGGTTTTCAAAAATCATTATTTGTTTTGATTGGGTGTTGTTGTAAATAATTGGGAATATGTTTTGGAGTTTATATCTCAATTTTGAGGGGTTTTGGTGAAGATTTAGACTTGGTTGTGGCTGAATTTCAAATTGAAACACGAAGAAGAAGAAGACATATTGCAGAAATTGTAGATAAATTGTAGATTGTTTTTTGCAGAAGATTTTGTAGAAGTTTTAGTTGTTTTGGATGTGTGAAAACAGAAAACAATGCATCTACAATTAGAATACAAATAATCTACAATTCATCTACAAAATATCTACAAACTGGGTATATTAAATTTTAATATCCCAATTCCCATTCGATTGTAGTTTAATTGGTATTTTCGACATAATTGCGTTTTTTGAAGAAGATTTGTAGAAGTTTTAGTCGTTTTTGATTTGTGAAAACAGAAAACAAAGCATCTACAGTTAGAATACAAATAATCTACAATTTATCTACAAAATATCTACAAACTGGGTATATTGAATTTTTATATCCCAATTCCCATTCAATTGTAGCATAATTGTGATTTTTGACATAATTGCATTTTTTCAGAAGATTTGTAGAAGTTTTAGCCGTTTTTTATTTGTGAAAACAGAAAATAAAGCATCTACAATCAGAATACAAATAATCTACAATTTATCTACAATTTATGCAATATGTCTTCTTCTTCTTCTTCTTCTTCGTTCTTCTTCTTCTTCTTCTTCTTCTTCTTCTTCTTCGAGTTTCAATCTGAAATTTCAGTACAAAACCAAGTACTAATCTTCTAACCAAAACCCCTACAAAATTGTNTGATTTCTGCAATATTCCTATTTCAAAATTTACATCCTTGCCAAAGATTGTATTGGAAAAATTCAAAATTCCAAGTCATTGGCCCGTGCTGGCACGGGCTACGACCATCTAGTATATAATAGAAGAGCAAGGGTTTCGACCTGTGTGCTTCAGGTCAATACATTTCAAGTCAAAGGCAATTCAGTCTTCATCTATTAGTTGAGCATACATACGTGGCTTTTCTGCAGCCACCACATCTTTCTCCGTTTCTTTCGCAGCTAGCGCAACTTATTCTTTCGTTTTTTTCTTTCGATTCTTTCCCCATGGATTCTCTTTGGCTTCTCAAAGATACTCTGAATCACTGGGTTGCTCCTCTTTCAAGTTTTGGCAAAATTTTGTTCTGTTTCTCTTGCTCTGTATTTGTGATGCTCTTTAGTCTGACCTTTAAAGTTTTTTTCTTCTATGAATGTAATTTGAATTTTTAGGGTTAGTTGGTAAGGCATAAGGCCAAAGAGTGTAGGGCAGGAAGGAGAGACGACTTGGAGCTCTTCGCCGAAAACGAAGGTGAACATTCTCATCTCTTTGTTTCTCCCATGTTCCGTGTCTCTCATTTCTCCTTTTTCGTCTCAACTCTCTGTTTAATAAAGTCTATGCAGCAGGATTTTTTTGGCTTTCTGATTATAGAATGTATGCATCTCTGTTGATTCAACAGATTTAACGTGGTCGGAAAATTCTTAGTATCCAAACTCTAATTATAAATTTTGATGTAGCTCTATCATCTTCAAAAAATAGATTTTGCATTTTATACTTAAAATTTGGTTGTAATTTCTAAACATAGATGATTTGATAGCTTTTATTTTGTTCCTCTCGCATGGTGGCTTCATAGTGGTAAATAACAAGAATTCAAGTTTGCAGAACTTTCTACCCTATATTTTCTGATTTTGTAAAATTAGCAAAATGTAGCTATTGATATATTTAAATTTCAAGATTATAGAGTGTAATCTAATTTTGCGTGAGTTATGTCCATGTGAAAGTTAGAGTAATAGATCTCTTTATACTACCTTTTTCACTTTACTAATATTTTTAATCTTTTTCATTGGTTTCAGTATTTAAAGAAGCTAAATGGACAATTTGATTTTGTAGATATCCTATGCTAAGAAAACTATAATACTAGAATAATTAGATACTCACTTCTAAAAGAAGTATTTAAGAACTGGTTATTAATTTTATTGAACCCAACATTTCATTGAATTTGTGTTTAACGTTGATGAAACCCCAATCAGGATCACAGTCAAATGACCATATTGGCAAATAAAACATTAACTTCAACGACAGCAGGAATAATAAGTAAGGCTTTAGAGGAGTACGAGTACTTAGATCTTTTATATTCAGGTAGAGACAACAAATAACAGAACAAGTTCAACTGGTACGAACCATTTTTTCGATGAATTAACTCCGAAGTCATTCCACATCATAATTTAAATCAAAACTAACAATGCAGATATGTCCAGAACTTGAAGCAAACTTAATTATTTACATAAATTTTATCTACCAAACAGACTCTCTTCCTATGCAATTCGCAAGGGCATAAGCAACTAAGTTCAAGCTCATTTGCTCTACTTATAACTACTTATGGGTGGCGAATTAAGTAGAATGTGTAATCATAGTTGTCTGAAGGAGTTATATATATATATATAAAATATATATATTTGCGCTAGATTCCGTTTACTCAAGTTTCCAAGCTATATATACACATGCTTATGATGTGTTATAACCTTTAGATAAAAGAAGATTTTTTCAATTGAAAGATCTCATAGTGGCATAATAGAATAAATGAACAAAACATGATGATAAAAGAAATTTGTCTTCTTTTATGACCTAGAAATTTGTGTGTGGCCAACCCTTAGGACGACTGCATCATTTGAAACTTGAGGAACTTCAAGCTTAGTTCACATGGCACAAGGCTAGAACATGTGACCTAAGTCACAAGTTCCTCAATCTTTTCCATTAGAACTAAGCCTTTGGGGGCTGGTATAGAAGAGGTATTGCCGATGCAATATCATTGCATCTTCACTTGCTTCGCATTAGGTTCATACGACATCAAGAGACTCGAACGGAAATAATAACTATATGTCTATCTTACTTAAAAGTCAGCACTTTAGTCTTTATAGATTTGACACAGAAGTTCGATACGAGCTGCTTTATCTATGAAGCAAGGACATGCCATTTTGATATAGGTGGTTGTAAGCTGATAAGAAGAATTAGATTTATGTGCTTTCAGCAGGTGTTCCGCATGGAGGTGGGACGATTTGATAAATCTGAGTGCTTCAATATAATGATTGCTTTTAGGATTTCTGCTGATGCAGCTGCAATACGTGCTTTAGTAGGATATGCACTTACTCAAATGGTTCAAGATATTTCATCTGCACCCATGTTTATTTATTGCTTTTGAAGTGAGTTGAAAGTTAGCACTTATCACACTTGGTATTAATGTATATGTAGGTTCAGTCAGATACAAAGGTTTGTTTGAGTTGCTGGTAAAATTAAATATATGGATAATCAAGTCTTGAACTTGAAAGTTGTTCTCAACCATCAGTTAAATCAATAGATTAGCCAAAATAGAAAGGTTACTAATATTATCTCAGATAGTTAATTGGTTATTTTTTGCTACTGTTGCCAAAATATTTCAATTATAATGGTGCTGAATAATCTTATTTTTCACATATGCTGTATGAGGAAGCAAGTCATGTTCTGAATGTTGTTGTTGGGAGTATAAGACTGTTGCATCATTTTGTGCAAAAGAGAAGGTCATGGAAATATGCAGGACAAAGAGTATAGACCCATCAAATGCAGGAATANTTTATTTGTGAAAACAGAAAATAAAGCATCTACAATCAGAATACAAATAATCTACAATTTATCTACAATTTATGCAATATGTCTTCTTCTTCTTCTTCTTCTTCGAGTTTCAATCTGAAATTCAGTCAAAACCAAGTCTAATCTTCACCAAAACCCCTCAAAATTGAGATATAAACTTCAAACCATATTCCCGATTATTTTCAACAACACCCAATCCAAACAAATAATGATTTTTTGAAACCCAAATTTGAATTCAAAGCTTTCAAGCTTTTTAATTGCTATCAATGGTGGAAAATATCTGGAAGAATATTTACTTCCATAATTGTAGCGCGCATAAATAAGAATATCTGGAAGAATATGATTTGATCTGATTTACGCCAAATCTATAAAAACAGCAAGGTTCATAATTTACAATTCCTTGACTTAGATACAGATGTTTATACGTCGGTTCCCACATTATAGAACTACTGAGGTTTTTGCTTGTATATATTCATGCACTTCCATGGTGCACTTTGGATGAATAAAATACATAGTTACTGATTTTAGAAAACAGTTCATGATTCCTTGAGATAATGAGCACGGATAAGTATTAACATTCACGGAGCTATCCTCAATTTTAGCTCGACAAATTAGGAAGATTCAACTACTATTAATTAGTATTTAATGATTGGTATAATAACTGTAGAAAAAATGTGGACAGAACGGGTAAATTAGAAACTATGTACATTTTTGATAATAAGATTTCATATATGGTATAGATAAGAAAAAATCCCTAGCTTATGGACTGTTGTCTTTCATGGTAATGCCCCACTTATCTCTAATTGAATTACTAGCCCATTTGGAAGTTGACAGTATTGGGGCAGTTGGAACGAATAAAGGGGCCGAAATCATAAGGCTCAATAGACTAGGTTCAGTCAGAGAAATTTCAGATCATTACCCTTGAATATTGAAGCAAAATTCAATCATTAAATGAGTAACATCAACACTGTAATGAATGGAAGTCCAATACGATTACATCAAGTAAGAAAAACAAGGGTTCAAAAATAAAACTTCAAAAAAGTTTCCATGAACATCCACGCTGGAATTAGAATCATAAATCAGGAATCATATATCAATTTAAAGGAGATCAAGTTGACAAAAATAATAAAGAATCGAACCTTTGATGCAGCAAAAGATTTTTATTAACAAAACTCCATGAATCTACATAAAAGCTTTGAGCAGAAAAACTTGGTCGGAACTCAAACGGACCTCCAGCCTCGCCGGAAAACGGCTATGGTTATAGTGTGATGCAGCTGGATTTGCTGTATTTTCTGGGTTGTTTTGAACTGGAGTTTGGGGTAGCTTCGACAGAGATGTTGGAGCTGCTTTGATGATGCCAATGGGAGCTTTCAATGGCTGGTTTTCATGGCTTCTTTGAGGTGGATTTGCAGCTGTTTTATGGTGTTTATACAGCTAATTTCGAACTTGGTTTCAGGTGTAAAAGGGCGTGTTTTACTGGGTTACAGGGGCTGTTTTTCAGCACTTTTCAGCTGCATTTTAGAGCTGAATTTTACGTGTTTTTGGACTGTTATCAGCTGAATTCCGGGGCTGTTTTTTCAGCGAAAATGGCAGCAATTTGAGCTGCTATTTTGAATGTTTTTGGGACTGTTTTGGCTGGATTTCGGGGCTAAGAACGTTGGTGTTTTGGAGCTGACTTTTGGACTCTTTTTTGGATGTTTTTGCGGCTGTTTTCAAGGTGGAGGAGCTGCCTTTTGGTGGTGAACTTTACATGGATTCTATGGTGTTCTTAGGGCTGGATTATTTTTGAGTTATAGAGGAAGAAGATCAGCTACCTATGTCACTCTGTTTTTCTCCCGTTCCCCTCCGTTTTCTTTTTTGTACTTTCTTTTCCTCCTAAAGAATAATAGCATAGGATATTTTTTCTAGAGAAAGTTTTTCGACATGTCTGCTTGGATCTCTTTTTAAAGAAGTTTGAGGGCATTTGAGTCATTTGGATCTCCCCTGTACATTTTTTGCTATTCCACATATGCTTTTCTTCTCTGTCAATGTATGCATTCCTTAGCAAAGCAGACACAAGAAAAAGCATCAGAGAAGCAATCCATCACAAGACCAGTTCGAAATCAGGTAAAAATTTCTTTCTGAAGTTCAGATTTGAGTTTGATTCAAAGTTATTTTGCTCGATTATTGCTCTGTATCAGCTTTACTCCTTAATTTTTAGCTTTTAATCCATTCTCTTTGGTTTTGGCATTTGTTGGGCTGTGAGTTGTGTTTGTACCTGTGATTTGTGCTGAATTTTTCTACTTTCTCTCTCAAATCTCTTGAACTTTTAGGTAAATTTCTTCCTCTTTAATATCAATTTTGTTGTTTTCTATGTGTTGTTTCTCCTTTTTTTGCTCCAATTTGTTTCAACCCACACAAGATCCGGAAATTTCTGAGTTAGGGTTTTGATGGATGAAATTGGGGGAATATTTTTTTTTTTTAACAGACAGTATTGTGTGAATAAAACATTGGGTTTTGATATTTATGGTTATTTACCTCTTATTGATAAAAATTTGTTTTCTCTCTGTGTGTGTGTATGTTTGGGAGTCCAAAAGATCACCTTTTCACATGTTCAGCATTAGCCCTATCAATTTCAAACATAGTTCTACCAATTACAGCCTTAAAATGATCATTATAACCTATTGGTGGGCATGGAATTGTATCAAATAGTGGAGGGTAGCAAGCACCAGGTTCACTATGACAAATCACAACAGTTTCATTTAACCTACATTCTGTTTGGTGAAGCTCAATAGCCAAATTCCTCATTTCTAAAAGTAAACCCTCCCAAAATTCAAGCTAAAATGTAAGACCAATTTTCAATGAGTGTTCATTTAAAGCTAAAATGTAAGACCAAGCTTCTGAACTGTACCCACCACCTGAGAGAATGGAGCCATCCATAGGACACAATATGGGGTTGTGTGAATTGGGTTTTTTGAGGTGTTTAAGGTTGTTGAGTGAAGTAAAGTTACGAAATTGTATCTACCAAACAGACTCTCTTCCTATGCAATTCACAAGGGCATAAGCAACTAAAGTTCAAGCTCATTTGCTCTACTTATAACTACTTATGGGAGGCGAATTAAGTAGAATGTATAATCATAGTTGTCTAAAGGAGTTATATATATATATATTTTGCGCTAGATTCTGTTTACTCAAGTTTCCAAGCTATATATACACATGCTTATGATGTGTTATAACCTTTAGATAAAAGAAGATTTTTACAATTGAAAGATCTCATAGTGGCATAATAGAATAAATGAACAAAACATGATGATAAAAGAAATCTGTCTTCTTTTATGACCTAGAAATTTGTGTGTGGCCAACCCTTAGGACGACTGCATCATTTGAAACTTGAGGAACTTAAATATCAAGCTTAGTTCACATGGCACAAGGCTAGAACATGTGACCTAAGTCACAAGTTCCTCAATCTTTTCCATTAGAACTAAGCCTTTGGGGGCTGGTATAGAAGAGGTGTTGCCGATGCAATATCATTGCATCTTCACTTGCTTCGCATTAGGTTCATACGATATCAAGAGACTCGAACGGAAATAACAACTATATGTCTATCTTACTTGAAAGTTGTCAGCACTTTAGTCTTTATAGAATTGATACAGAAGTTTGATACGAGCTGCTTTATCTATGAAGCAAGGACATGCCATTTTGGTATAGGTGGTTGTAAGCTGATAAGAAGAATTAGATTTATGTGCTTTCAGCAGGTGTTCCGCATGGAGGTGGGCCGATTTGATGAATCTGAGTGCTTCAATATAATGATTGCTTTTAGGATTTCTGCTGATGCAGCTGCAGTACGTGCTTTAGTAGGATATGCACTTACTCAAATGGTTCAAGATATTTCATCTGCACACATGTTTATTTATTGCTTTTGAAGTGAGTTGAAAGTTAGCACTTATCACACTTGGTATTAATATATATGTAGGTTCAGTCAGATACAAAGGTTTGTTTGAGTTGCTGGTAAAATTAGATATATGGATAATCAAGTCTTGAACTTGAAAGTTGTTCTCAACCATCAGTTAAATCAATAGATTAGCCAAAATAGAAAGCTTACTAATATTATCTCAGATAGTTAATTGGTTATTTTTTGCTACTGTTGCCAAAATATTTCAATTATAATGGTGCTGATTAATCTTATTTTCACATATGCTATATGAGGAAGCAAGTCATGTTCTGAATGTTGTTGTTGGGAGTATAAGACTGTTGCATCATTTTGTGCAAAAGAGAAGGTCATGGAAATATGCAGGACAAAGAGTATAGGCCCATCATATGCAGGAATAAAGCAAGGTTTTTTATTAGCAGATAAGATTTTGTTTGCCATTTGTCTTTGTTTTGTTTAACAACCAATTTTTACGCAGGAGCTCATCTTATTTAGAATGGCAAAACAAAAGTTTTGTATGTTTTCGTGCATCTAAGATACCCCTTATTATATTTTTTTTTAAGGATTTTAGTTAACGCTTGTTAAGTGGTTGATTTGTAGTATTCGCAGCCTGACAAGTTTTCTTTGCTCTGATGATGACAGCTAAAGCCATGTTCCAGTCAAACTCATTGGTACCAGTATAGCCAAGAGTGACACTGCTACAATATTTGCTATTCCACGCAAAAAATGCGGAAAAAAATAAAATTCAAGTGATAATTCTGGTATGACAGAGGTCACTCTGAACAATGATTTTGAGTTAAAACATGTAAACTTTAAATATCCAAGAAGGCAGATTTTTAATTTTTTAGAGACCTTTGCTTGACCATTCGCTGTGAAAAGGTGAATTGACGGTTAATGTTGTTTCTTTGTTGTCTTCTTTCTCAGCAAAAAGTAATTTATTGGTTTGCTAGAAATGGGATACAAACTTATTAATTTTTGGATCATCTAGAATTTAAGAGATATCCTGATGAGGTTCTTAGTTGAGACACAGATTTGGCTCCACATTGTTATGAAATATTCAGCATCTATTTTACAATCAATGTTCAACGCTACAGCAACTAGAGTATTTTGTCTTTATTTTTCTCAAATATCTATTGTCGAGGAATAACAAGGTAGCTTCAGGTTGTAACCAGCACAGGCCACCCATACCTAGTATTTATACAAAGAAAAGGAAAGGTCCTTCCCCCTCCCCAAAACGTTATCCAATGAGAGAGAAAATGGGAATTCTTGTGCATGTGAGGCAGGTGGTTTTTAAATTGCCAAAACTAAAATCTGTTATGCCATGTGCTACTTTGTTAAGTAACATAGAGAGGAATCTTTGCCAAATGACAATTTTTGATCGGTTCTTTCTTCTTCTTCTTTTTTTTTTTTTTTTTTGTAGTATTTTGTTTATAATAAATAAATAAAAATAAATCTACTCCTACTAAATCAAAAATAGCAAGATAAAATTACTATACACTCAATCTTCATTTGTTGAAAGTGTCTAATTTAAAAAATTGCACTAAACTAATAAAACTAATTTTTGAAACTTTTCTTTCTTTGCAAAACGAAAAACTAATACTCTAGAAACATGTAACTCTTTTTTTTTTTTTTGTAATTTTCAATTTATCTTTTGGAAAATAAAACTGTCAATACTATTTTTGTATTTTTTTCCAAAAATAAACTAACTAGACAAAATATCAACTAGCTAGAATAAGAGAAAGTATTTTTATTGTTTTTTTTATAGATAAAATAAAGTAAAAAGAGCAATACTAAGCTTAAACTAAATATTTACACTAAAATATAAAAAACCTTGATGAGGGTCAAAAATCACATGTCTACAGCTGCCCCTCTTTGACTGGGAACGCGAAGAGTTTTCAGACAAAGAACGACTAGACATGTTTTTTGACCCGACCCTTATTTGGAGAGACCAAAACTAAGAGAAAGGGGAATGTGACCGAGCCCTGATATCTAAGCTGCCTACATATCCTTGGCTATAAAGGAATCAGGCCACGTGTAGTTCAGAGGTGAATGGGGTGATGGAGTATGCCGAGGTGGAGAGCCGATTGAGGTGCCGTCGAGGTTCCGGTCCGCGTCCCATTATAATATCAAAATCAAAAATGAAAAAGACTAACTAAGCCTATCAGCTACGAGTTACAAGATTCCTATCTATAAATCCTTTGAAGCTTGATCTTGAGTCTTGGCTGGCTCTTGCTGCAGACTCCGATCTGAATCTTGATACTCGTCAGCTGTAACCGCTGGTTCATTCTTCAGCTTTGGATCAAGGCGGAACATGCAAAGCCTGTGATTTCAATCATATCTTGGGCAGTCCACGTCTTTTTCCGCTTCAGCATTCTGAGTTCACTTCTTTTTGTTCTTTTCTCTTCTTTTCTTTATTTTGGATTGAGACTCATTCTTTTGGTCATCTCGAACCCTGTGCCTCGAGGTCAATCCTGCTCAGACACCAAAACAAACAAACGAACAAAATTTTTCTGCCCCAGTTTTCACTAGGAAAATTTCGTGAGTTATTTGTAACTAAGATCTAATTTTTTTTTTGAAAGCTACTGCTCGCTGAACTCCTTATTACACCAAAAATGAAAAATAAAAAGCTAAACTAGCTAAACCTACCAGCTACGAGTTACAAGATTCCTATCTATAAATCTCTTGAAGCTTGATCTTGAGTCTTAGTTGGTTCTTGTTGTAGACTCCGGTCTGAATCTTGATGCTCGTCAGTTGTGACCACTGGTTCATTCTTCAGTTTTGGATCAAGGCGGGACATGCGAAGCTTGTGATTTCAATCATATCTTAGGCAGTCCGCGTCTTTCTCCGCTTCAGCACTCTGAGTTCACTTCTTTTTTTTTCTTCTTTTCTTTGTTCTGGATTGAGACTCACTCGAATCCTGTGCCTCGAGGTCAGACCTGCTTAGACACCAAAACAAACATACGAACGAAATTTTTCTGCCCCAGTTTTCACTAGGAAAATTTCGTGAGTTATTTGTAACTAAGATCTAAACTTTTTTTTTTGAAAGCGATAAAATAAGGATTGTGTGTCTTTAGGAGGAAAAGGCGACTAGGGAATGGAGGTCCTATGTCTAAAATCTCAACTAGGGATTGGAGCCCTATGTTGGAAAAAGGCGACTAGGGACTGGAGGTCCTATGTCTAAAAATCTCAACTAGGGATTGGAGCCCTATGTTGGCAAAAGGCGACTAGGGAATGGAGGCCCTGTGTCTAAAAATCTCAACTAGGGAATGGAGGCCCTATGTTGGCAAAAGGCGACTAGGGAATGGAGGCCCTATGTCTAAAAAATCTCAACTAGGAAATGGAGCCCTATGTTGGCAAAAAAGGCGACTAGGGAATGGAGGCCCTATGTCTAAAAAATCTCAACTAGGGAATGGAGGCCCTATGTTGGCAAAAAAAAAGGCGACTAGGGAATGGAGGCCCAATTTCTAAAATCTCAACTAGGGAATGGAGGCCCTATATTGGCAAAAAAGGCGACTAGGGAATGGAGGCCTATGTCTAAAAAATCTCAACTAGGGAATGGAGGCCTTGTGTCTAAAAAAATCTCAACTAGGGAATGGAGGCCCTATGTTGGCAAAAAAGGCGAGTAGGGAATGGAGGCCCTATGTCTAAAAATCTCAACTAGGGAATGGAGGCCCTATGTTGGCAAAAAAAAAACGACTAGGGAATGGAGGCCCTATGTCTAAAATTCTTAACAAGGGAATGGAGGCCCTATGTTGGCAAAAGGCGACTAGGGAATGGAGGCCCTATGTCTAAAATCTCAACTAGGGAATGGAGGCCCTAATGTTGGCAAAAAGGCTACTAAAATTTCAACTCAGGGATTGGAGCCCTAATGTTGGCAAAAAGGCGACTAGGGAATGGAGGCCCTATGTCTAAAATCTCAACTCAGGGATTGGAGCCCTAATGTTGGCAAAAAGGCGACTAGGGAATGGAGGCCCTATGTCTAAAAATCTCAACTTAGGGATTGGAGCCCTAATGTTGGCAAAAAGGCGACTAGGGAATGGAGGCCCCATGTCTAAAATCTCAACTCAGGGATTAGAGCCCTAATGTTGGCAAATAGGCGACTAGGGAATGGAGGCCCTATGTCTAAAAATCTCAACTAGGGATTGGAGCCCTATGTTGGCAAAGGGCGACTAGGGGATGGAGACCCTATGTCTAAAAATCTCAACTAGGGATTGGGGCCCTATGTTGGAAAAACGTAAAAGATTGATATTGAGGATTCTGAACTACCATTTTTTTGGATTTCTTCTTATCTCTTTTTTTCATTTCATTTTCCTTTCTCTTTTATTTTTTATTTCACGGAATGAGAAAATGCGGGAAAAACTTGGAGGGGACTTCCCTTTTTATGGATTGTTGCTGCAAAGCTGTTTCTAGCACTTGCGCACTTCTTTTTCCTTTTTTTTTTAGTTGCACCTGCTTCTTGCACGGTTGCTTTGGATTGCACCTGTTTCAAATTTTCAAACAAAGAACAATTGTTAGTTTGAAACGGTGGTTGGTTTTGTAGCCTTGATTATTTTTGATCACTTGATCTCGGCCCAGCTTCTTTGATGAAGATCTCAATTGCAACTGCTTGTTTCCTGGGGACTAATTTCATTTCAGGCCCTGAGAACCTCTGGTTTTTTCCAGATTTTGCCCTGACGGTTGGTTGGTGGAACTCAACCTTTTCGACTTTATTTTACCTTCGTAGGCCTTTCCTTTCTGACTTCCTTTTCTTTTCTTTTCTTTTCTTTTTTTTCTTTTTCCCTTTTTTTTTCATTCATTTTTTTTTCGGAACGTTGGGGAACTTTTTGGCTCCTCAAACTTTGCTGCAACGGCTAGTCGCGTGGGACTTAACCTTTTCCAACTTTATTTCGGTAGGCCTTTCATTTTTGACTTCTTTCTTCCAACTTCAATTTCAGAGCATTTGGGGAACCTTGCCTTTTCAAACCTTTGCCGAGACGGTTAGCCACGTGGGACTCAACCTTTTCAACTTCATTTGCCTTTATAGGCACTTCAATTTGATTTTCTCCTTCCAAGAGTTTTGACTTTGAAGCATCGGCCGCCATGGCTAGTCGGGGTCGACTTGATGCCCCTGACGAGGCTGGGTGCCTTTTTGTACATTAGCTCGTGTCAAACGAAAGCCCTGTAAATCAGTCTTGCCATCCCTTCTTTGTATCGGTTCCGGAATAAAGTTAGACCGAAAGGGATTCAAAAAAAAAAAATAATGGACAGGACAATGAATTTAAACGAGAGGTATCCTTTTCGGGGAGAGGAAAGAAAGACTTATCTGGAGTACATACGGACTTCAATGAACATGACATGCCTTTTGGACTGGATTCCTGATCTGTGTAAACCGTCCGACTCTCAGAAATTCATCACAAATTTGCCTTGAAACCGAGAACCTTGCCAGGACTCTGTTGATGCCGATGGTTGTGAGGATCCTCTTTCGATCAAGGACGCCCTTTGCGGGTTTACACGAGCTGATCTCTCTCATTTATCTTCTCACCATCGCCTTATAGTGCTCTTTGCGAGTTTTCACTAACAAGACTCTCTCATTTCAATTTCTCTGCTTACCGTCGCCTCACGGTGCCCGTGTGGGTTTTCACCAATAAGACTCTCTCATTTTATTTCTCTCATTTTGTTGTATCAGATCCAAATAACTCTATCCTCCCATTTTGAACCTCTTTGCCGATTGATCAGAAGGACTTGAACAAGGCTTGGGGTAAAAAGAATTTGGATTGAATTACAACTTTGGAACCTTTCGGGCGAAATCATCGCCGGACCATTATAACACCTGCCCCAGTTTCACTTTTTGGGGGAAATTGGATTTTTTTTTTGGTGTGACTGAACCCCAGAGAGAGGCTGCCTACGTATCCTTTCGGAATCAAGTCGAACGTAGTTCAGGGAACATTTTTTTTGTTGTTTTCTTTTTCTTTTTCTTTCTTTTTTTTTTCAATCAACTTTTTTTCAATAATACTTTCAGGTTCCAAAGAGGGTAATCAAAGAAAAGTAACCGGCTCAAAGGG